GAGGAATGGGAAGATAAAATACTAAAATCTGTGTGGAGAAAGTGTATGTGTGGAGTATAGAGTGAAGACAAAAGTTGAATTTAGTTGAGGGTAATGATTTAGTACCAGTGATTTTAGTTGCTTCTTCTTCTTCTTCTTTTCTTTTTTTCTTTTCTTTTTTTTTTTTTTGATTTGCGAAGCAGAGCTCGCCCGGGCTATGCCTAGAGGGAGCAGTTTTGTAGCTCTTCTTGATTTCAAAAACTTAGCTACCATGTAACGGTATTGAAAGTATCTTATGTGTTTGTTTGTTTTTTTGTTAACAGTAGTACAAAAAAAAATTTTTAGTACTTTTATCAAATAAAAACACTGGGTACCCAATGGCTTAAAGAATCTTAAGAAAAATAATTTCGTCAGAAAATTGACCAGTTGCTACCGGTTCTATCTCGGTGATTAGAGTTTTTAATGCTGGCTAATTCTGTATAAATATGGAATGTAGGCTAAGAAAATGAAGTTAGAGACCAGTGAGTGTTGGCTTTCGGTAATACTTGTATGGAGGTTTCCATTGTTATAGGTGATTACTTTCAAAAATGGTATCGATTTGTTTTCCTACATCCACTGGTAATATGATGCCCGGGTGTTTTCGAGTTTGAGATTGTTTAAAAGAAAAGTTACATCGATGTATCGAACCGAAAATTTAATGAACGGTTTAATTCCGGGACATGTTGTGTGTATTTATCTATATAAGATGCATATACATATAAAGGTTATCTATATGCATACATACATATATATGTGTGTGTGTTTGTGTGATGTGTGAGGGTGTGTGTGGTGTGTGTGTGTGTGTGTAATTGTGTGTGTGTGTGTGGTGTGTATGTTGTGTGATATATAACATATAACTGTGTGTGTGTGTGTATGTGTGTGTGTGTGTATGGTATGAAGATATCTATCCTACTTAATATTATATATATGTGTGGTGGTGTGTGTGTGTGTGTGTCACATGTATGTTATTACCTAATGATATATATACATAATCATACCTTTGCACCCCACCCACCCAAACACCCCCACACACACAGTAACGTGAACACAAGATGAAAAGGAAAACAGCCACAGTAGAATGAAATACAAATCGTAACATTTCAAACTCCCTACGGGTTTCTTTTCAGACGAATACAATGAACCAAAATGGATACCAAGAGAGAATTTTGACATGATATATAGTGGTTGAGAGGCAGAACGAGCAAAAGTACATCCAAGCCCCATCGATCAGCACTCAAGTTAAAGTTAGGCATTTTTGTAATTAATAGAGATTCTAACATTTTTCTTTAGTACGAATTAGCTGATTTAGGAATTAATTTAGCGTTTTTCTAATGAAGGAAACACACACTTGAATCTCTGGTATGTCTAACATCACGTTTATGATTATTAATTCTTTTCTCAAAAGCCCTACCGGTCTCGCCTGCGTAAAACTTGGGAAATCTTTACAGGCTATAGTGTAAATATCAGGAGAAGTCTCAAGAGCACCACTAGCTGCATTATGCTTAACCAAAGTATTAGGCAACGTGTTCGGCTACGTAAAAACAACGCCTTTAAACGTGTGTCGTTTTTCATCAAGGGACGGGTAATACGGATAGTACCATCGAGGCTGTTGAGTTTTCTAAAAAAAAAAAATCATCGAAGTCTGAACGGTTCACTTTTGGGGGGTGGTTTAGGTAACACCGGTAGTCAATTCACCTCTTTATTGCTGGAGTTACAGAGGTGTGTCCCGGTCAGAGTCAAGCCCGATTGAGTGTGTCCTGTCGCTTAGGCACTCCGCGGCTTAAATGGGCCCTGCACGATGTTTACTCCCTGTCAGGTCCGAGAGGTAATCGGTGATTGGTGGTGGTTTACTGAACCTAACTCGCCAACGTTGGTGTGGTCACGGTCCTACGGAGCGCCGAAGCTTGCCGCGGCTGGTCACCACAGCACTAGTCCCCTTCCAGTGTAGCGCGTCGCGAAACGAACCTTCGAAATTTGTGCACATGCTCCTTGCAGGTGATGCAGGTTCATAACGCGGTCGATGCATACGGTGTCCTCACCCTCGTGGACGCCGAATGGTGATTGTCCTTGCGTCTCCGCTTGATGACAGGGAAAGGAACCCTCGTAGGGCGGGCACGTGGGGCTTGGCGGGTCGGTCTGACGAAGACGTGTAAGCAGTCGTGGGGTTCGCGTGGTAAGTAGATGTCGCCGCTGCCGTTAAGGTTTCGGGTAGGACGCAAGCGCGAATACTGGCCATGCGGATCGCGAGCTGCTTTCCGAAAGCTCCCGGGTCCTGATTGCGCGGAGCTAACTAGAATCGGCAGGGAGGGCTATGGGTTGGTTCCGTAAACCATCTCAGATGCGGTGCAACTTAAATGTCCTGTTTGAAGGAGGTCCTTATGTATCATGAGGCGCCAAAGGCAACTGGTCCCCCCTTGCGCGTGGAGGATCAGCTGTGAGGTCTCCTTCAGGGTGGCGGTGTAGGCGCTCTACCATGCGTTTGTCACTGGGTGGTATGCCGTGGTCGGATGCGCTTCGAGCCGAGAAGAACATCAGTTGTGCCCTCCAGAGCTCGGACGCGAAATGAGACCGAGCGATCGTCGTGACCGTCGCAGGAGCCTCCGTAGCGCGATATCCGCGTGTTGATGAAGGTCTTGGCAATGGTCGCGGCGGGTGATTGGTCCTGGATAAGGGGTGGCTGTCTCGGGCCACCTGGTGAAGTCGGTCGATCCCATCGTCAGGAACGTCGCTGTAACCCTGAATTACTGGCTGGGAGAGGGCCGACCACTCCAGGTGTACATGTTCGAAGCGGCGCGTCTGTTACCATGACACCTGTGGGGGAGCCCTTAGTGGTCGGTGAATCTTATCTTACTGCGCTGGCACGCGAGCCGGTGCGGCTGCTCCACTCCCTGCATCTCCTATTGATGCCCGGCCACACAACTTTGCTGGGAGGAGATCCTGGGTTTGCGCGAATGTCTCGATGTGCTGGTAAGCCTCGAGGAACTGCCGACGGAGTGAAGGTGATGTAAGGACTGGGTGGGCCCATCGAGCTTTCGCAGATGATTGTGTCCCTGCGAGTCCTGAAGTTGCACCCTGCTACCAGCTGAGAGCGGTTATCTCCATTGACAAGTCTGGAAGAGAAAGGGTCTTGTTGCTGTTCCCTGCGAACAGATGGTAAGTCAATGGGTTGTTGCTGAGACTTACACAATTGCTATGGATACTCTGGACAGGGCATCTGCGGCTGTTGTTGTTGATGCCTTGGATGTGCCGTATGTCCTTGGGTACTGGGCCAGAAATCCAGGTGCCTCTCTTCGCGTGGGACTGCGGCGCTCCTGTTTGTGGCAGGAGCGAAGGTGAGGGGCTTGTGAATCCGTCAGGATGTGAATTCTTTTCCCCTCTACATATGTCCTGAAGTGCCTTGACTGGCGCTGTAGACCGGCAAGGAGTTCCTTGCCGAAGGCGCTGTAATGGGCTTGCAGTGGTCTGAGAGTCTTTGAAAAGAAAAGCCCGGGGCTGCCAACTCATTACCTGGATTTGTTGCAGGACGGCTCCCATGCGGGTGTCTGAGGCGTCGACGGCTATGTGAGCTCGCCCTTGACTGTGGGTAGGTTGCGGAGCGTCGACCAGAGGTGCTAAGCATCCTTGCGAAATGTTCTCTAAATTCCTCTTTTCTGCGCCTCTTTTTTCCCCCAGTGATGTCTCTGCTGCGCCAACCCGGGTGAGAAGGCCCTGTAGGTGGGCCAGAATAGAAGCACCCCTGGAAATGACCCTCCTGAGAAGTTTTCTATCATACCCAGGTACTCTTCAGCAGCTGTCTCTTTGTTGTCGGTCCTAGGAAACTATGCCTGACTGCGGCTGACCTTCTCCTGAGTCCCCCGGGGTGATGCCCGTCAGCGGTAATTGTGTACCCTGGAAAGTCATGAGAGGCACTCCGAAGAGACCTTACCCATGGTTGATGACGATTCCGGCTTTCTGCAGGTGTCAACAGGCGGAGAGGTGTTGCTTGTGCTCCTCACTACTGCTGCTGGCGTGATTTAATGTCGTCATGTAACGAAGAACGCCTTGTAAGTCCGCGGGTGACATCGTCCATGAAGCGCTGGAAGGTCTGGGCTGCGTTGCGGAGGCCGAACGTCATATGTAGGAATTCGTACAGACCGAAGGGGGTGATTAAGCCGTCTATGAATGTCTTCCCCTCGGCGATGGGGAATCTGATGGTACGCTCTGACGGGTCAAGCTTCGAGAAGATCGTGCGTCAGAGATTCACGTGTGAAGGAGTGGGGTGCGGGGGGGATAGCGATCCGGCTCGGTGCTTGTGTTGAGATGCGGTAATACACCGCGTGGCGCCAATCGCGTCCTTTTTCCGTACTCTAGATGCAGGGGGGTATCCCACTGGCTGCTGGAAGGCGTACTGAAGGCCTCAGATCCCTCTGTGTCGAACTCTGCCTTGGGCGATGCGGAAGCGATCTGAATCGAGGCGGGCCTGCACGGGGTGGACGGTGGGCTAGTCGGTGACGATGTGTGCGTGCAGTGTTTGGTGGCGGTGATGTATCCACGTTTTTTTTTTGTTGATGGGGTTTTAGTCAGCGCTGGAAAGTCACGAAGTAGGGCTCTAATAGGCACATTGGTTGGGTAAGCACCGGGTAGATGCGGGGAACTCTTACTAGGGCCGACGCGGCGGGGGTGCAGCTCTGACTGGTGTTACACGAGACCTCTCTTTAATAAGGTCCACCGATAACCGTAATGCGCGAGAAAGTCTGCTCCGAGGATTGGCTGCTGTACATCGCTACCATGAGACCTCACGTCAGCTTCGAACGAGGGGCGCCTCTGACAGGATTGGTCATGGAGCGCGCACCGTAACGTTGATGGAGAACAATTGGCGGCCTGCTATGTGCGAGAGGCGGGCTAGGGCCTGTCCCTGTGCGATGCGGAATAAGGCTTGACCTTCTGCTCCTGTGTCTACCAAGAAACTGTAGGCGGGAGTCGAATGTCACGGACTTAGAGCATGCGCCGTCTGGGGCCGGGCGAGAGACCGGCGCTATTAGTTCCCCTAGTTTCCCCCCGCGGTGGCCCGTTTCTTCCTGCCAGAGCAAAGGGGCTTAACGTAACCGCTGCGCTTGGGCACCGATCTGGAGTGGTAGAACATGCTACCTGGGGTCGGGGCACGGTGGCGTTGTAGTTTCGACGGTGCCATGATACGTGTAGTCCTCGTTCCGCGGTTGGCACGGGGCGAAGCAGTGGCTGCTGATGGCCGGGGCCTGGGATGTTGTGAAGGTCGCGGGTTTGCGAGCCGACGAACGGCGGTTGTGAGCTCGGCGACCTGATCGGCGAGGGACTCCAGGGTTCAATGACGGTGTCGTGGATACAGCTGAAACTTGGTGGGCTATTTTGTATCGCGATGATCTCGTCTGCTTTCAAGGCTAGTTGCTCGATTGGGGAGTTTCTGAGCTACAGGGCGGCTGCACCCGCCGCCGAACGCTGATATGAACATCGTAGCGCAGAATATCGGGTGGCAGGTGTGTGGTCGGCCCGCGCGAGTAGCGTTGGATGTGCCGAATATTTCCGGGCATACGGCTCCGGTGCGCTGTTTGTGAAGAGGGCGCGTACCGTGTCCGTGGGGAAGGCGGCCGCACGCCGAGGATTGCTTCTTTGAGGCGTTCGTATGTATTGTATTCGGAGTGGGGTTGATGAGGTCTCTGACGGAGAGGAGAGTTCAGGTGAGAGATTCTTCGCCAGTATCCGAGATTTGGTGACTGGAGAGTGCGTGGCGAAGGAGGAACTCCTGTTCCACCTGCAGGAACCATCAGGAAGGCAGGCAAGGTGCAGGTGGGGGGGGCTGGTAGCGGCTTCTTCAAAGATGTGTGTTGACAGGACTCGGGCTAAAATGGACTCTTAACTCCGGAGGTCACCAGTGTGGTTTAGGTAAAACACACGGTAGTCAATTTCAAACTCTTTCTTGCTGGAGTTACAGAGGTGTGTCACGGGTCAGAGTAAGCGATGAGTGTGTCTGATCGCTTAGGACTCCGCGGCTTAATGCGGCCAGCACATGTGTACTCCCTGGTCAGGTCCAGAGAGGTAAGCGGTGATTGGTGGTGGTGACTTGAATCCAAACTCGCCAACACGGTGGCTGTGTGTCAGGTCTTACGGAGCGCCGAAGCTTGCAGCGGGCTGGTCACCACAACGTGCCATAAAGAAAAAAATATCAATCCCCAATATAACGAACCCAATCGTGTCGGGAGGGGAGAATGACGGAAGGAGTTTCAGATTCAAACATCTCCATGTCTAAATTCGCAAGGACCAGGCTTAAGCTACTTCACATCGCATATCGTTGATTTGTTTATAAATTTCGCCGTCAAAATAAAGATACCATTCGTGACACACAACGGATTGGTCGATAAAGCAATACCCCCAGAAATAGGGATCTCTCATCGATGAGAAAGTTTTATTTGAAAGATACCTAGCACATAGTCAGGCGGGACATTTACTGAACAAGGAATCTTACATCAAAACTTCACTAAATTTCTACCGTGCGTCAGCAAGTTCTACACTTTACCCAAAGAAACCCATCGAATGATATGGACTATCAGAAAATTATCCCATACATAAAAGGAGATAAAACGTAGCTAAACCAAGAGTCTAAAGGACGAGTAACTGAGTTGCAAGACTAAATAATTGCCTTAGAGGGAAACGCTCTGTTTGTGTGTTTTAGGGAAGGCTCAAACAATGGAATAGAGGAAATTAACTGTTTTAAGGATCAAAAAAAATTGGGGGTCAGGACATTTAGCAACAATATGTCTGGTGTTTTTATGAAAGGATTCGTGACTCATGGGGTAAGGGTTTAGAGTAGTTAGAGTACGCAGTATTTGACACGTTGAGGTTGTCGTTCAGGCGGGAAATGCATTGCGATACAAATCAGATTTATTTCAAGCGATAAACTACTTATTACCTTTGTCGACTTTGGTAATTATAATGTCTAAATTGCGTTTGAGTGATTTGGTGGCCAAAAAAAACGTCGGGGGTTAAGCCTTTGAAATCGTCAGTAGATCAAGAATCGGATTTAACAAACATATCTAGATCTGTTAACATGGATTTTTGCTTCGAATGAAACTATCAAGACCTTTAAATATAATCTAACATGATTACCTGCAGTCATAGCTCTCCATCATACAGACTTATGCAGTGCCTCCTCATGGTCACCCTGGAAAACTGGGCACACTTGCGCTGTCCTAGGCTGTGAACTGTGGAGCTCTGGAGCAGCAGGAGCCCTAAAGGTATGGAGCATGGGCCCACCGGCGGGTGGATACGCCCTGCATCTACTAACTCCTATCCTTGCCCCCTAGGATTAATGGGAGCGTGGGGAGGAAGGCTTGCCAAGTGTGGTTTTTCTTGGAGAAGCCAATCTGGTAGGCCACATTTATAGCTGTTGGTGTTGGGGGGAAAAGATAAAGTCCCTCCCACCCAGCAAGAACGGCTGGCTGGGGTCCTCTGGGTTTGGCGACCGCTGGGATTCGGGTGAGGAGGGGAGGTACCCATCATCCCATCTGCGTCCCAGCTGGCCGACAACCTGGTCGTGAGCTTTGTGGGGGGAAAGCCCCGGGAGCCCTGCAGGAAGATTATGGGACCGGCACCCCACCCGGTTGGCTGCCAGAGGTTAGACCCTCAGGCGGACTCTCAGGGTGGGGGCTTCAAACGTCCGTTCCTGCGACAGGGGTAATCGGTTTACCACTATTGTCGAAGGGAATTGAAACAGCTGAGAGTGAAGGTGGCTGCTCTATCGGAGGTGAGAAGACCTGGGCAGCGGCAGATTAGTGTGGGTGGTCTACACTTTACTCCTGGTCGGCCGCAGCGATGGCCACAATCTCCAGGGAGTAGCCCTAGCCATCTCCAGCGAACTTACAACCCTCGGTAGTAGAGGAACTCAGTCAATGAGCGTTTATGGTATATTATGAGACTGAAGCTTTCACTTGGCTTCAGTTCTCTTATTGCTGTATCACGTCAACGGATGTATATAAACGTCAGGTGAACAGAGATGTTTTACAACCAAACTTGCATCTGTGACAGACAGTTGTCCTCAGCAACCAGAATATCATATTGTGCTGCGTGATGTTGAGAAGGGATACAGGACCGTTGATCATAATCTTGGAGAGGAGCTTCGAAAGCCATTTCTTAGTAACTGACCTTCCCGGGTTCGCCTACCAAGCCCTGAGAAAGCTGAACTCCAAGCCCTCCTCAAGATGGACTGCAGTTCGCTCAGCAGCGGCCAGATAATCTCAGATTACTGATGGGGAGTCTGTGCATTGGGGCTGAGTAGTATTTTGAGCAGTTGTATCAGGTTGATCCACCAGCAGATAAACTTGGCGGGTAATGTTGAAGGATTCCTCTGCCAGACCCACCCATAGAGGAGGATTCCACACTCCCGATTGAGTCAAGGGGGGCGATCTTTCCAAGCTGAACGGAGTGGGGTTAATAAAGCAGCAGGTCTTTGTTGGCATCCCCGCTAATTGTTAAAGGCTGGTGGAGAAACTATTGCAAGGGGCTTGCATGCAGTCCTGTCTGCCATCTGGCAGATCCAGTACCATTCCCCTGACCGG